AAGAAAAAGAAAAATTTCAGTTTAAAAAAAAATGAAAATTTAAAAAATGGTTTTCTTTTTTTTTAAGAAAAAAACTGGACAAAAAAAAATCCAGGTAAAAATTTTATTAACTGAAATTGGATTAGTTCATATGGATTGAATAATTCTTGACCATAAATAGATCAGGCAGAGGCATGTCATGGGTTTTAATTATATGGCATGGGATTTCAAGTTAATATGGAGACTAATCCAAATGTCAGACAAATTTTTTATTTATATAGATTTGTCATACAAAATTATTAATATTGTTATATATCCATATAATTAAAAACAATCTTACTAAAAAAAATTTTCACACAAATTTATTGACTAAAAAAATCTTACTAAACATCAAAAAAGCCATCTAATCTGATTATAGTACTTGACACAATCCAAAAAAAAGTAAACAAAATTTTTTGGGTTCTATCAATTTTATTAATATGACAGGGAATCTTCATTTACCTATTTCCTGGTCGGTCTCATATTAATAACTGGAAAACAAATTCAATAATCATTTTTTAGAATTTTATACTTAAGACGTTTAAAAGTTTTACTTTGCTTTTATTTCAACTTTTATCATAAAAGCACTAATTACTAAAATTTAATGTGTCTTATAAATATTAATATCAGAAGGATAACATTACTATCCCTATTCCTCACGTTTCCTTTATAGATATGTTTATCAATTTGTACAAAATCGCATAAATTTTTTAAGATTAAATCTTTTTTATTCAAGTATTTATAATATCACTCCCATAAGACCATGAGGTTAGATTTTATTGTGCAAGTATTAGACGTATTAGACATCAATATTGTACAAATCTTGAAATGTTGGGCGAAATACTTAAACATTGTCAATTAGCCAAAATTTTGACATTATTTCTTCATAAATTTGTGCCCCCTATTTTTTTATCTCATAAAAATATCAGCTAGAAGTGGTTAATATTAATTCATCTTATGGTGGTACAGTAATATCTGTTAAGATATCTTAATTATAGATTACTAATTTACCAATCATCATTTGTTTATTATTTAATTGTTAATACACTAATTGAAACCCATTTTAACAGTTAAATTTAATAATCTAAAGATAAACATTTTGTTTAAAGCTTCAGATTTGATTTTTGCGAAGTAACTTAGCTTGAAAAATTAAAAAAATTGTGTGAAAATTCAAAAAAAAAAGTGGAAAAAATGGAAAATTTGCGTGCTATTAAAACATAAATAAAAAACTTTTTCTACTTAATTTTTTTTAAAGAATATAGTAGCAGATTTTCAAAAGTACTGTATATACAGTATATATAATTTAAGGAAAAAATAATTTTTTTTTTTTTAATAACCCATTACAAAGTGAATGGGTGAGTGGCAAAAAAAATTTAAGCTTTATAATCCAATCAAGACCGTCGAGGCGTCGAGTGAATCACTGGTGATCCGAAACTGAATTCACATGACTGCAATAAAAATTGGCATGATATCATCGGACCGGACTCCGTAGGGCATAACATTTTAACTTGTAATGGTTCAAGATGAATTCATACCTAAATTCATGTCAAGTTTTTATAATACTAGCCAATGTTTCATTATATTAATAGTACAGATATTATTCCGGTTATTAACTATACTGTATAACCCAATATTTCACTCGGCAATCTTAAAAATTTTTATTTATTGTTCATAAACGGCAACAATAAACACATGATGGTGAAAATAGAGTTAAGGTAAATGATGAAAAAAAAGTTAAATGTAGCACATGATCCATTTGTGCAAGGCGCGTGCTTTAATACTATTAGACAGTTACATGACATATATTTAATTTCAAAAAAAGAAAATTAATCCTTATAATTTATTCAAGATAGGCCTTTTAATTTAAAATGTTAATAAAATGATGTCTTTATAAATTACATGTAATTACTGCATCATCACGGTTTTTATTTTATCACTTTAATAAACATTTGGTGAAAATTTTAATAAAAGATCAATAAATTCAGATAATTTATTTTTTCAAAAAAAAATTTACAAACTATAAATTCATAATATTATATGACAATAATTCTGATTATCAATACTTTATACTACAACTTCTGATAATCCATTATTAATATGGTTTAATTTTAGTTGTTTACAAATATCATTGCACCTATGATTTGCCAAGAACAACTGATCGATTCCCTCTTTGCCAAAATTAGTTCTTCCAAATCTTAAAGAATCAATACAATGTATTGCTGGATCAGTTAATAAGAACTCATTAGTAAGTTCAATTCCTTGAAGATCACAAACAACCAAGTATCCTTTGGTGTATTCATACGTGAAATGGACAAAAGCTTCAAGAATAGGCCGAAGTTCTGTAATTACACCAGTATTCGCATTAAATCGTTTATATTCCATATTATGAAATTTTGGTTCAATAGTATAATATCGAGTACTAAAGTCAATAGTTCCACAACGTAAAAGTTTTACATTGAGAAATTTTACTTTGGGAAGATTTTTTCCTTTTGCAATCAAATTAAATTCTGTAGAGAGAAAAGATGCAATTGTAGAGATTTCTATCGCCTCAATATACTTTTCAAAAGAATCACTTCGTCCAACATGAAGATATTCTTTTATCACCATTTTTTTTTCTGGACACCTTTCCATATCAAGAGCAAAGTAAGCATATCTTTCAGCACCTGCAGAAAATGGTTGTGGAGCAATCTTAAAGGAGAAACTTCTAGAAAAGAGATTCGATTTGTTGAAATAATTTGGGTCTTTAAGTTCCTTCAAAGTATCAAGAATAGGATACCACATAACTATTCCTTCTTGCAACGGAAGAATAATCCAATCAGGCTCATTTGGATTCATATCAAGTTTTTTTCGTTGTAAAGAATAAATATCCTTGGAGTCGCTTCCAATAGTACTGGTCATTGAAACAGCATAAGTAATAGATGTTGAGGTAGCTTTAATAAATTTTTCAATTAATTTAATTGGATCTCCTCCTATAAGATCAAATACTGGAAATTCTCCAATTATACCACGGAATATTTGAAGCATTTTTTCGGTAGCATCAGTAATTTTTCCAAAAAAGTAAAGGATATTTTTTGATTGCAACTTTTCTAGGACATTTTCTGCGGTTAGGCCATGTGGATCACCTTTTGGATAAGTATCTGCCATATCTGTAAAATTTTTGCCATGTGGTGGATAATCACCAATATGAAGAAGAACACGAGTAACATTTTTCCAATCCATTTTGGTTATTGCTGCATTAAGACCTCCGAGAACATCCTCTGGAGCATCACCACCACCGGAAGCAGGTACACTTTGCAAATATGTTGTAAATTGCTCATATTGGTCGGTAAAATCTAAAGTTAGTAGACGACCTTCTCCATCGATATGATCTCGATAACCACAAAAGCCGACCCGAAGTTCAATGCTTGGATTTGTATGTTTAATGTAGTTTGTCACCTGTAAGATACAATCTCTAGCAGCAGCAATAAAAGGTCTCATAGAACCAGTGCAGTCTAAAACAAAGCAAAGATCAACTTTCATTGAAAGTTTGATGTTATTGAGCGTTTTGGAGATAGCCTTTTCTCGCAAAAATGTAACTTTAGTTTTTAATTCATTTTCTGTATTAGAAGTTATTGTTGTATCAGAATAGAGAGTATCTGCCTCATCAGCATAACGTTTCAAACGTTCTTCAGTGAGATTTAATTTTTCCAAATCAGATGCGAATGAAGAGGGGATAGATGTAGATATCGTATGAGAATCTTTAACCTTTATGTTTATTGGCTTTTCTTCAAAAGAAAAAGTATTTATCTCATCAGCACATATTTTCGGACGTTTTTCAGTGAGGTTTAGTTTCTCGGTATCATTAGAACATGAAGGGGTAATGGAAGTGGTAGTTATAGTATCAGCATTTTTGGCTTTCGCCCGTTTTTTTGATTTTTTTTTCAGACAGAACCACTTTGACATATTTTATTGAATGTTAATAAAAAATAATAAAAATTATTTTTTAAAAAAAAATATAAACGAAAAATTCTAAGGATTTATTCTCAGGATTTATTCTCGAGATTTATTTCTCAGGATTTGAAAATTATTTCCAAATTAGTTAAAATTAATTTCAGAATTTGTTTAGATAAGTTTCCAAATCAATGCAGATAAAAAAGATTGGCGCATGTACAATGATAATGACTTATAAATGATCTGTATGACTAAATAACTCCATATATAGATCCGGACTTCGTCCTCCGGAGTTAAATTTCATTATATTTATAAATATATTTTTTTATTATCATGCCATTCATTATTTTTTTTCTTTATCCGGATGTTAAAAGAAATAGAAGTTATTTTCATAATTATAAATCTACTGTATTTAGTTAATGCGTATAAATTATTGAAATTCTTTTTTTAAACGGTAAAATCATGTGATCATCATCGCAGTAGATGATCAGTAGGATTGATAAATGATTTTTACTCAAGGACTTTTAAATTTTATAAATAATTATTTAAAGTAACTTAGAATGGTAAAATGATTTGTAAGTAGTTTTTTTTAAATCATTTTTTTTTTATTTGAGTTATGAACTGCATGTATCAATAACAACAGTTTTATAATTAATGACTAATGAGTCATTTTAAATGTCACGTTTAATTTGTGTAACAGGAAAACGTGATACGTCTGCGCATGAATTTTAATTCTAACGAAAAAAGTTTGGTTTTTCTTCTCCTTTAGCCTTTTGAAATGATGCGATCGGACGTTGAAATTTTTTTTCACTTTCTTTCCTTTAATTCCAACTTGATTTTTTTTAATATTAAGTATTTTTAATTTTTTTTTTTAATCCTGATTTGCTTTTTTAATATTATTAAATATTTTTTTTCCAATTTTTTTTTTTTTCAAACTTGATTTTCTTTTTTTTAATATGGTTATATATATATATTTGTTTTTTTTTCAAAACTGATTTTTTTTTAATTTTATTAATATTCATTTTTTTTTATAATTTTTTTTTTTTT